TCCATGGTCGTGAGTGCCCAAAAGGAGCCGCCATGACCTGGCCAATTCTGAGCGGCTGTGATGGCAATAAGCCGTGAATGGCGCTTACCCTGTATAGCTGGGGGCGACCCTGGTGTACCTGGTGAGTCCAGGATGACTCTAGGTGGCCCTTCTCAGTGGCCCAGAATGGCTGTGCTGGCCCTGGACACCCTCGGAGATGGCCGAGTGTCCCTGGGTCGTGGATGGTTTTGGAGGGGCAGCCCATCTGTGACCACGCAGGACTCTCGCACCAGCCCTGCGGTGGACGCGGTGCAGGTCTGCGCACACCGGCCGGGGCTCCTCAGAGCGGAGACGCCCGCTGTGCGGGAGGGGCGGGCACCTCACGGCTCCGCTCTGGCCGCAGGCGTGGGCTTCACGGTCATCCTCATCTCGCTGTACGTGGGCTTCTTCTACAACGTCATCATCGCCTGGGCGCTGCACTACCTCTTCTCCTCCTTCACCGCGGAGCTGCCCTGGACCCGCTGCAACCACACCTGGAACAGCCCCCGCTGCTCCGACGCCCGAGCAGGCAGCTCCAGCAACGGCACGGGCCTCAACGCCACCTTCGGGACCACGCCTGCTGCCGAGTACTTTGAGTAAGTGGGAGTCGGCCCGTCAGCCCCGGATGGAGGGGGGCGCTCAGTGCAGCCCTGGGTCAGCCTCCGCGCCCTGCTCCCGGGTGTGGAGGGGGCTGGTCTTTTCCCTTGCCTGGAGCCGCCCAGGCCTTCGGTTTCCTTGAGTGTCTTTCTGAGCCCCACACTGAGCACCAGCCCCATGGAGAGGGCCCCCGGGAGGAGGGCTCAGCAGACCCAGTGGAGAGGGCCCAGCCCCATGGAGAGGGCCCCAGGGAGGAGGGCTGAGCTGCCCCGTGGAGAGGGTCCCGCGGGAGGAGGGCTCAGCAGACCCAGTGGAGAGGGCCCTGGGGAGGAGGACTGAGCTGGCCCCTCGTACTCTGCCCTGCCCGCAGCAGTAGTCCACGCTGGGAGGAGGCTGGCCAGAGGTCGCTGTTCCTGCGAAGGGGAGGAGGAAAGGGACTGAGGCCGGACCAGGGCCACTGGTCTACGCAGGCCTCCCAGAGCGAGCGCAGCCCCACGACCTGCTTCCCCCACCCTGCCCTCCCTCTGCACCTGGGCCGCTCAGCTCTTTGCTCTCCAGCAGAGACCTCGGAGCATCCCTGCCTGGAGACCTAGCTTCCCTGGCCGGCCTGTCAGCAGGCCCCAGCTGTCACCTGGTGGGACTTCCTTTCCCTTGGGCAAACACGGCCTTCTTTCACAGGGTTCCTCCTCGGTCCCCATGGCCTCCCACCTCTCCCAGCCGCTGCCTTCCCAGTTCGGCTCCTGTCTCCTCTCATCCCCGCCCCTGGTCTAAGCCTCAGCCAGCCACCCTCAGGCGATGCCTTGCCTAGAACCTGCTGCCCTCTGACTCCTGGGCCCTGCTCAGCTCTTGCCCACGCTGCCTTTGTCACCACGTGGCTGGCCCAGCCTCGGAGAGCTCTGATCACCCCATTGGCCCCCTCTTTCTCCACCCTCTGTTACAATATCATCCTTTCCCCCAAACATCTTCCAATGAGACTTTCCCCCCAAGCCGAGAAACAGACGGCAGTTGTGGACATGCGCGAACTTACACATGTGCTAGGGCCAGCGCAGGCCCCGGCAGGGGTGGGTGGCCCTGGCCACCGCACAAGGGTGTGAGTGCAGGCTCTGCCGGCCCCCCAGGCCCCTCTCCCTGCCAGCTGGGTCCAGGCATCTCGCGCCAGGTTACCTGTTCTGACCAAGGTAGAGTGAAAACGTGGCCTGATAGCCTGGTTGAGGGGTGTGTGGAAGGGAGCTTGCTTGCTTTCCAGGAAGACCCCTCTGCTCTGGGAGTGTGGTGCAGAATGTGTAAGGAGGGCAGAAAAGCCACAATAGGGAGAGACTTCTCCACCAAGAAGCTTCGGTGAGGGTGTAGCGTCCAAGCGGGGGCGCAGGGGCACGGGGACGGGGGCTGGTGGCCTTAACCTGAAGGGCTCTGGGAGGAGGGCTGTGGGAGAGGAGTCGTGGGCAGGGAGGGCCTCTCCTTTAGATTTGCCTGGAAGACAGCGAAGCTGCCCGCGTGTCCGGATAGCGGTCTGATACGTGGCAGGAAGTGAGAAATGCGAATGCTGTCCCCTGGCCTCATTGCGAGCACGTTCGCACCTCGGGCGGCACCGTGCTGGGCCAGCCGGCCCGCTGCCGCACTCCCAGAGCACAGACGCTCCTTAGCCAGGTCGAGGCTGTGCGGCCCCCACGGAGGTTAGCGTGTGACTGAGGGAGAGGGACGGCCGGGAGTCTGCACGGGAGCACAGGTGGGCTTTGTGGGGGGCCCCCCACCAAGGGCCACGAGAGACGGCTCATGCGGAGCTAGGCCTCGCCCGTCCCCCGTCACAATGCTCAGTGGTGTCTGCGCTGTCACGCCAGCGCGCTGCGACGACTCCCAGCTGGCTCTCAGTGCTGCCTAGAACGTTCAGAGCAGGAAAGGTCTGAGTGCCGAGCGACCGTTCGGGACGCCTCTGTGCTGGGAGGCCTGATGTCAGTGACTTTTTAGCTTACTCTAGGCACGTACGCTCCCCATAAAGAGAGAGACGGGGTGGAGGGAGGACGGGGGCAGAGAGAAACTGCCTTCAGGGGATGGCCACACCGCAGCCCTCCTTCTGCAGTCTCCTCTCAGGAGTTGGGGTATGCACGCACCCACACCCAGGTCTGGGACTTGAACCACCGAGGTGGCCATGTGGGATCCAGTGCCTTAACCTCCAGTCCACCTGCTGGCCCCCAGATGAGAAATTTGGGGGGAACGGCCTGTCTAAGGTCACGGGGGCGTTATGAAGAATGCGGAAGGAAGGAGTGAGAGTGACTATAGACAGGGAGACACGCTCGGACCAGGGCGGTCCACACGCAGTCTGCAGAGGCCGGCCCGGACGGAGCTGCCTGATGTGTGTGTGGGCAAGCGCAGGCACGTGAGCTGATGCCAGGCTGGCACCGGTGACTCCAGGACAGAGGTGGGGGTTGAGGGGGAGTCCCAGGATGCAAATGTTGCAGGGGACCTTGGACAGCACAGAGGCCCAGGCACTCTGAGGTGGGACCAAGGGTTCCGAGATCCTGCGGGACCATAATGGTGGAACAGCTGGTCCTGCATGCAGGTCTGCAGGGGCTTTCTGGAATCCAAACCCTCCTTCTTCTTTCTTCTTTCTTCTTTCTTCTTTCTTCTTTCTTCTTTCTTCTTTCTTCTTTCTTCTTTCTTCTTTCTTCTTTCTTCTTTCTTCTTTCTTCTTTCTTCTTTCTTCTTTCTTCTTTCTTCTTTCTTCTTTCTTCTTTCTTCTTTCTTCTTTCTTCTTTCTTCTTTCTTCTTTCTTCTTTCTTCTTCTTCTTCTTCCTTCTTCTTCTTCCTTCTTCTTCTTCCTTCTTCTTCTTCCTTCTTCTTCTTCCTTCTTCTTCTTCCTTCTTCTTCTTCCTTCTTCTTCTTCCTTCTTCTTCTTCCTTCTTCTTCTTCCTTCTTCTTCTTCCTTCTTCTTCTTCCTTCTTCTTCTTCCTTCTTCTTCTTCCTTCTTCTTCTTCCTTCTTCTTCTTCCTTCTTCTTCTTCCTTCTTCTTCTTCCTTCTTCTTCTTCCTTCTTCTTCTTCCTTCTTCTTCTTCCTTCTTCTTCTTCCTTCTTCTTCTTCCTTCTTCTTCTTCCTTCTTCTTCTTCCTTCTTCTTCTTCCTTCTTCTTCTTCCTTCTTCTTCTTCCTTCTTCTTTCTTCTTCTTCTTCTTCCTTCTTCTTCTTCCTTCTTCTTTCTTCTTCTTCTTCTTCCTTCTTCTTCTTCCTTCTTCCTCCTTCTTCTTCCTCCTCCTTCTTCTTCCTCCTTCTTCTTCTTCCTCCTTCTTCTTCTTCCTCCTTCTTCTTCTTCCTCCTTCTTCTTCTTCCTCCTTCTTCTTCTTCCTCCTTCTTCTTCTTCCTCCTTCTTCTTCTTCCTCCTTCTTCTTCTTCCTCCTTCTTCTTCTTCCTCCTTCTTCTTCTTCCTCCTTCTTCTTCTTCCTCCTTCTTCTTCTTCCTCCTTCTTCTTCTTCCTCCTTCTTCTTCTTCCTCCTTCTTCTTCTTCCTGCTTCTTCTTCTTCCTTCTTCTTCTTTCTTCTTCTTCTTCTTTTAAAATTTTCCAGAGGGTGCATGTGATCACATGCACATGAGAGAGAGCACCCCATGTGCAGACAGTCACCTGTCGGTCCCTTTTCCGTATCTCCTTCCTTTCAGGACTTCAGGCACACGTGTATATATGCCTGGCATGGTTTTCTTTCTTTCTTTCTTTCTTTTAAGAATTATTTATTTAATTTTGTTTATTTATTTATTGTTCTTCAATTTGGCCAGAGAGAGGGGAGGGAGAAAGCAAACTGCCAGGTCTGCGACTTGAACCACAGTCTGCCATTTGGGAGTCCAGGGCCTTAACTACCATACCACCTGCTAGCCCCCGCCTCGCATGGTTTTTAAGTCACCAGAACCGGGACTTGAATCTCGCAGTTGGCCATGTGGGCTCCAGCCACCTTAACCACCAGGCCACCAGCTGGTCCCAAACCACTGCTTTTTTTATATTTAGTCACATGTATCTTTACAGCGTATTGCATTTCTTTTTCCAGCACGATTACCATGCACATCAGTCCAGATAAAGACACTACTATCCACATCGTCATCATCAAGTAACTTTTTTTCAGGTTATTATTACTTATTCTCATTATTTTTAACATTCAATCACTATACATCATTTGGCTTGTAAAGAGAATTTGCCTAACACGAAATACTTCTCAGACCACTAAACCCCCTGCTTCCTGCAGGTAATTGTAGGAAGGGGGGGCAGGTCCCTGTAGGCATATGTAACTGGGGAGCAGGTACCCCATCAGTGGCATGAAGGCCAAGATTAGTGCAGCCGCACAGCTGCACGGCCTGCGAGGTTGGGCACTCTGGCTGTCACTAATCCCTCAGAGGACTCCAACTTCCTAGTCAGGGTCCAGACTGCCGTGTGACACACAGCTCAGATGTGACAGGGGTAGATCTGAAAGGGCCCACGCAGTTGACTCCAAATCCCCAGAGGGGAGTGCTGGGCTCGCACCTTCCTGGGCTTCGATGCCAAGAGCTGGCCAAACCTAGTCAAGCACTATGGCTTCCTTCTCGGGTAGCAGCCCACCGGAGAAGGTGACAGAAATGACTTCTCTATCACCTCTCTGCGCCCCCCAGGAGGGATGTCCACTCTACAATCCCTTCTCCTCCATTTTCCTCTTGGGATTTTGGGCATGTACACACACACATTCAACATGCTTTACATGCCACTGGTTTGGGATTGAAATCACACAATTGGCCATGTAGGAGCCAGGAAAGGGCATGTAGGCTTTGGGAACCCCCAAACACCACTACAGTCCCAGCTGTAGTGGTGCAAGAGTAGTATGCCACTCCACGATATACTGGAACTACATGGAATACTGGGGTTCAGTGTTCAGGCTAACCTGCATGTACCAACCAACACATGCCATGATACTAGCTGGGATGGCTGGTGTGAGACAACAGATCTCTCTCTCTCTCTCTCAATGAACTTTTTTTTTAAAGCCCACATAACTTCAACCAGTATAAAATTTCCCTTGTTTCCATGAACAATAATTAACACCACATTTACCTACTTTCTCATCTAAATTAGGAAGTTGTAAATTAAAAGCTATTAATTTGCCTCTGAGGGACTGTTCTAGCTGCATCCCGAGTGTTTGATAATGTTGTGTTTCTAGTTTCACTTAGTTCGAAGTATTCCCTGATCTCTCTTGTGATTTTTACTTTGACTACTGGGACATTTTTAGAAGTCCGTTGTGTAACTTTAAATTATTTAGAGATATTCTTTCTCTCTGTCTTTCTCTAGCAAGTATGTGTGCCCTCTGACAAAATTAAAAGAACAAATTAAAGCAGTTATTGAAAACAATGCATGAAACTCTATGTACACAAAACCCACTATGGTTCAAACCCATCCCTGGTAGCTTGAAAAATATCTGGGCATGTGTGTGCACATGTGGGTACGTGCATGTGCCCCAAATTGTCTCTCCTCACAGCCCTGCCAGCTTTCACCTCATGCGCGCGTCAGCACTCTCACAACGTAGAAGGTTAAGGGTTCCGAGTCTTTGAGCTGACCTGTTTGTCATTACGAAATGTCTTCTTGGTTCTCTTTCTTATTTTTGACGTCTACTTTGTCTAATATTAGTGTGGCCACCTCGTCTTTCTTATGATTAGTGTTTATAAGCTATATCTTCTCCACACTTGTACTCACTTATTTTCTGAATTTGCTATAGGGTGCATGTGGGGAAGTGAGAGAACACCCCAAGATGACAGCCACACTGAACTCTCTCTTCGCCTTCCCCCTTTGGGGTTCTGGGCATGTACACACAGGTGCCTGCCGTATTTCCCAAGCCACCGGGTCTGGGACTTGAACTGCACAGTCAGTCGTGTGGGATCCAGCCACCTTAACATGCCACCAGCGGCCCCCACCTTTTATTTTTAACCTCTATGTCTCGTTACATTTAGTGGCTTTCTTATAATAGCATAGAGGTAGTTCTTGAGTTTTTTTAAACCCAGTATAACGATCTCTGTCTTTTGATTAGAATTTCGATTTAATAGTTAGTATGGTTGGGCTTAAGTCTTTCCTTTTGCTGTTTTATTTCTATTTGTCCCACTCCTTCCTTAGTTCCTCTTTTCATTTCTTCTTTTGAATGAACATGTTGTTAGGCTTCCACTTCATCTGCGCCGTTGTCTGATGAGCTATGAAGCTCTTTGGCTTCCTGGGGACACCGCAGCCTTCCCGGTGTGCGTCCTGACTTCCCCACGGTCTCCCTCAAGCGGCTGGAGCCAGGCCGTGCTGCACAGCGCCGTGGGCTCCAGAGCCTCCACACGGACTTGCATTTCCCTGGGGCCTCGAGAGAGGTCTCGATGCCCTCAACTCTCGGAACGCCGCCGGTTTTTGCTTTAGGTCATCAGCCACGTTTCACATACCCCTCCACCCACGCGTCCCCCGCCCTCCTGTCTCCTGAAGTTCCTCCTCTCACAGTTCTGGGCAGCGCCCCTGGCAGCAAAACCGCTCTCCTCTTCGCTTCCTGGAAGCCGTCTGCCCACTCTGGGGGACGGACTCCCCTGGGTAGGCTGCACCGCGCAGCACCTGGCGCAGCACCTGTTTCCCGCGGTGCAGGCCACAGCTTCGGGGCGTTAGGTACATGAACGCCGCCATGTGACTGTCGCCATCACCCGGTGCCGAATTGTTCATATTCCCTAGCCGAAACAGCCAGGGCCAGCAGCCAAGCCCCGCTTGACTGAGCAGATCCAGGAGCGACGTCCTCCAGCGCGGGGACCCTCCCTGCATGTCCGCGGAGCTCAGCCCTGGGCCCCATGAGGACGGCTCCTGAGCCAGCAGCTGGCTGCAGCTGCAGAGGTGTGGAGCCTGCCCTTCGGCCTGGGCCAGCACCTTCCCCACCACTGCATGCTGGGCTGAGCCTGGTTCAGGTCGGATCCGAGTGCCTCCTGTCCACTGCCCCTCCTGGAGCAGGTACACAGCTCTGGAAGCTGGGTCAGTCATGGTGTCGGGCACTGTCTCCTTTTTTTGTTTGTTTCGGAGAGGTTTTTGCTATAGGATGCGTGCGCTTGCCAGAGACAGAAAGCGAGAAATCACCCTCCAGGGAAGATGGCCACACCGCGATCCCTTCCATTCTATCGGGATCTTGGGCACGCACACACATGCGCCCAACCTGAGTTTTAAGCCACCGGGTCTGGGACTTGAACCGTGGTCGACTACATGGGAGTCCAGTGACATAGCCATTACGCTAACT